CCCCCCCAACTGGTACACAGCAACGCACTGATGTCCTACGTGAAAAAAAGTTTGGTCAGGGGTTTGCTGAGAGAATGATAAAAAAGTAAGCAATCTAACAATCTGCTCAAACGCCTGTGCACTATATAATATGACACTATATATTTACCTCATTGTGGAAACTCGTCTACTCGTGTCGGTTCGGTATGGGTCCTTGGGGTCATTGACGATGACTCGAAACATTTGTTTTAAGTTGCAGTTTTCAGACGATCACTTCAAGCTGTTTACACTGCCATTAATTATTTATTTCTGAACAAAATCTCTGTCAACAGTCAAGACGGAATTGCTGTAATGCTTCGAATGAAACGTTCAACGTCGAGACCTTCAGCTGTTCAGTTGTCGCCGTCAGTGTGATGGGTGACGGTCATAATTCTTCCATCGTACGAAATGACCTATTCCGTTCAAGTGATGATAAACTCTGATTATCGTTTGTTCTATTCAACATGTAAATAAGTGAGCAATAACAACGGAAAGCACATATTCTTTCACTTTCAGACTTCATCCTCAGCAGCTGTCATATCGCTGTCATCAGCTGTGATAGGCTAGTAAACTTCCGGTGTAAACGACTTTCGTTCTTATTTACGGGAGTTCAATATGCCATTAAATACAATTATTTAAATATAAAAGATGGTCGGACTGGATAGTTTTCCTTTTTTTGACGTTCTTAATTGTTGTTAATAATTGTCGATAACAGTTTTGAAATCCAAGCGTGGTGTCGTTAGGTTACCGTAAATCATATTGAAATTTAGCCAACATGCGCAGCTTCCTGCGCAGTGGCGCTAAATTTGAGAAGGATGGACCCACCTTAAACAGTGCATGTAGAACAAGTATCGTTGTCTTAAACAGTCGGGTAGAACAAGTATCATTGTCTAAAACAGTCGGGTAGAACAAGCATCGTTGTCTTAAACAGTCGAGTAGAACAAGTATCATTGTCTTAAACAGTCAGGTAGAACAAGTATCGTTGTCTTAAACAGTCAGGTAGAACAAGTATCGTTGTCTTAAACAGTCGGGTAGAACAAGTATCGTTGTCTAAAACAGTCAGGTAGAACAAGTATCGTTGTGTTAAACAGTCAGGTAGAACAAGTATCGTTGTCTTAAACAGTCGGGTAGAACAAGTATCGTTGTCTTAAACAGTCAGGTAGAACAAGTATCGTTGTCTTAAACAGTCAGGTAGAACAAGTATCGTTGTCTAAAACAGTCGGGTAGAACAAGTATCGTTGTCTTAAACAGTCGGGTAGAACAAGTATCGTTGTCTTAAACAGTCGGGTAGAACAAGTATCGTTGTCTTAAACAGTCGGGTAGAACAAGTATCGTTGTCTTAAACAGTCGGGTAGAACAAGTATCGTTGTCTTAAACAGTCGGGTAGAACAAGTATCGTTGTCTTAAACAGTCGGGTAGAACAAGTATCGTTGTCTTAAACAGTCGGGTAGAACAAGTATCGTTGTCTTAAACAGTCGGGTAGAACAAGTATCGTTGTCTTAAACAGTCGGGTAGAACAAGTATCGTTGTCTTAAACAGTCGGGTAGAACAAGTATCGTTGTCTTAAACAGTCGGGTAGAACAAGTATCGTTGTCTTAAACAGTCGGGTAGAACAAGTATCGTTGTCTTAAACAGTCGGGTAGAACAAGTATCGTTGTCTTAAACAGTCGGGTAGAACAAGTATCGTTGTCTTAAACAGTCGGGTAGAACAAGTATCGTTGTCTTAAACAGTCAGGTAGAACAAGTATCGTTGTCTTAAACAGTCAGGTAGAACAAGTATCGTTGTCTTAAACAGTCAAGTAGAACCAGTATAGTTGTCTTAAACAGTCGGGTAGAACAAGTATCGTTGTCTTAAACAGTGCATGTAGAACAAGTATCGTTGTCTTAAACAGTCAAGTAGAACCAGTATCGTTGTCTTAAACAGTCGGGTAGAACAAGTATCATTGTCTAAAACAGTGCATGTAGAACAAGTATCGTTGTCTTACACAGTCACGTAGAACAAGTATCGTTGTCTTAAACAGTCAGGTAGAACAAGTATCGTTGTCTTAAACAGTGCATGTAGAACAAGTATCGTTGTCTTAAACAGTCACGTAGAACAAGCATCGTTGTCTTAAACAGTGCATGTAGGACAAGTATCGTTGTCTTAAACAGTGCATGTAGAACAAGTATCGTTGTCTTAAACAGTGCATGTAGAACAAGCATCGTTGTCTTAAACAGTGCATGTAGAACAAGTATCGTTGTCTTAAACAGTGCATGTAGAACAAGTATCGTTGTCTTAAACAGTCAGGTAGAACAAGTATCGTTGTATTAAACAGTGCATGAAGAACAAGTATCGTTGTCTTAAACAGTGCATGTCGAACAAGTATCGTTGTCTTAAACAGTCGTGTAGAACAAGTATCATTGTCTTAAACAGTCGGGTCGGTAGAACAAGTATCGTTGTCTTAAACAGTCGATAGAACAAGTATCGTTGTCTTAAACATTGCATGTAGAACAAGTATCGTTGTCTTAAACAGAGCATGTAGAACAAGTATCATTGTCTTAAACAGTCGGATAGAACAAGTAACATGCTTGACTAATGTTGGCTAAAAAAGTTTGCTACCAGTAACAATGGGCACCGGCTTTAATCAGTTCCTTATGATATAGATTTTTCCATGGATCCATGAGGTACATTTATATCATTACTTTAAGATTTCTTGCCCATCACTTCAAAAAAATCATAAGATATTTTTTAAAGTCCCTTTTAAAGCCTAAGTTTGTATGTGTCCATGTGTTGTATATTGTAATGAGATGAATTATCTAAGACCCATCAGGCACATAATTTTAGATTCAGAATGCTAGCTCACAGGCAGATATGCAAAAACCTCTGCAATTCAACAATCAATTTCATAGTAAATATTGATTTTTTTTACAAGCACTGACACTTATCAATTTACCCAACGCAACACTGACACTGTCCATACAAAGAAATGTATCAGATTTGTATTGTATCACAGTTTAGAATCTTGATTTCTTAAAGCATTAACTTTATGGCACATTTTGTATACAAAATACAATTAAATGTGTTTTATGTATACAATGAAAGTAAATTGTCTGAAAAATTGGACTCTTTTGTTAGAAAACAAGACTTAGTGCAAGAATTTCAGTGTCCACATACCAAATAAAGGGAGATTATTCTAATATCTACTGGTACAGTCATCATATCCTGGAAGCAACAAGAGATTGGGTCGCCAGTATTTCAAAAAAATGCAATGCAATTGTATATATACTAACCCACTTATTTTGAGATATTTTTGTGTTCTTGATCAATACCATGTCTGAAGTAATAAGATGTCAGAAGTGTCACAGTGAACTAAAATTAGAACTGCTCAAATTGTCTAATTACTTCACACTAAATCTCATACAGAATCATCAGCAGCCAGATAGTATCCATACCTGATGATGATGGAGCTCAGAGGTCAGTCCTTGATTTAGATACGCATGCTTCTGGTCTGTGGCTATGGCAATCTACAGGTGCATGTGCTACTTAATAGTAGATGGTTGGTCAATTACATAAGCTCAATCTCTCATTGTTATGTTACAAAACATTTTGCAATTTTATGAAACTTCCTCTGCATGCTTGGGATTGGTGCATACCAGGTTGTGATTAAGTACATATTAAACAGATTTTCTTTTGATAAATGATATACCTTATTAGATAAAATCTGTCTCTAAAGGACTGATCATGTAGGAAAAGCAAAGCCAAACAAAAAAACATAAAAATACTTATGTTTTGGGGTCTGGCCATGACTCTTAATATGTGTAGCCTACATTTTCAAACTAACTTAATATCACTCTGTTTATTTAACTTGACAGCAACTAAAAGTCAAAAGTTGCTCATCGTGAACATAATATCAACTTTTCTAAGTATTAAAGTACTACTACTATGTTTAACATAACGTTTTTCTTTCAATATTTCAAAATGTTCATACAGTTTGTTGCTAGAGTGCATCAGAAGTATACTTTACACTTTATTTCCAAAAAAAGTGCACAGCTAGTATTTGAAACCTAGTACATTTGTACATGTAGTTCTAATATTATAATCATTTCCGGTGACAGTGAGGTCATGCAGCATTTTGTAGTTGCCACTACATATTTTTCCCTTTCATCAGTACATCTCGTATATAAGAGGTGAGTTAGTTCAAATTATTCTGACGTTTTATTGACTTTTTTCATATCGGTCTGTCGTCGATTAATCAACGACAAACCGATATGAAAAAAGTCGATAAAATGTCAGAATAATTCGGACTAGAGGTAAGTGTGATACACTGCCATGTCGATAATGCTGTTGTTAGTTTTACTTTTATCAGATTCAGTTACCATTGACATTCATGCTTATTACACTCTGACAGTATTCAAAATCTGTTTAAAACTGTTATTTCAACAAACAATAATTGATAATTGATGGTATCACTTGCTGTTTACAAATGTACATAATACATGTGTACAACATGAATAATATTTTTGTCACTATAATACAATATAGTGATTAGACGGTTAATGGAATAATCAATTTGTAGATCAATTTTAGACCAAGTTTCGATTAATTGATTCTTAAATTTCCTGTAATCAGTTAATCGGAAAAATATTTCATCAGTCCTAGTTATATAAAAACTAATATTTATTCAACAGCCCTATATAAAACATAGGGTAAACACTAGTATTGATTTGATTTATTCCAAACTAATGTTTGTCCACCTGCATGTACAAAGAATAGTGAAGCATGAGTGTATGTTGTCACTTACCTTATATTTTTTATTTGTATCAAATTCAAAGTGTATTTTCATACTTTTGATGAAATATAAACCAGATAATTCATTTATAATGCAGAAATCTTTGACAATTGTACATTTTACTCGTATTCTGTTGCCTGCAGATTTAGCCGGTTATGGATTTTCGATTTTTTCTGATAAATCGGTTGTCAATATACCAGCTATAAACTTGTATTATAAAGTATTAATATATGGAGTCCTAAATGTATCCTTTAAATTTAAAGATGATTTTTGGGAGGAAGGGGATATGCATGTCCAGTTTGGCTGTAACTTTTGAAAAGTGCAAAAGTAAAACTAGCTGTCATGAAATGATCTGGTATACATCCAGTATCTGTTTTAAATAGGCAGTCAGATTGACATTGTCAAATTATGATAAGTTGCACATTTGCTTTGTATATTTTATAATGTTCGCTGCCCCCCAGCCCAACCACCACCATCATGTTTATATATCACAATTTAAAAGTGAATCAAGAGCACTGTACTAGTATACTTAGTGAATGCCCATACACAGTCACACACTTAAATATTGCAGTTTGTGTTTCAGTTTCTATTTCAAGATACCACAGCTGTATACAGGTACATTATATCCAGGAAGTGATACTAAAATCCTTCTTTTGTTGCCAACAGGAAGTAAGCAGGTGTGATTATGAAGTTTGGGGTGGTTGTTATCAGTAGAGTTCTTTGGTAAAACGATTACCTCACGCCCAGTTTATACAAGTGTTAGATACCGTGTAGTAGTGTTGATATACCATTAGTGACCAGACACAGTTTATACAAGGGTTAGATACGGTGTAGTAGTGTTGATATACCAGAAGTGATCAGACACAGTTTATACAGGAAGTAAGCAGGTGTGATTATGAAGTTTGGGGTGGTTGTTAGCAGTAGAGTTCTTTGGTAAAACGATTACCTCACGCCCAGTTTATACAAGTGTTAGATTCCGTGTAGTAGTGTTGATATACCAGTATTGATCAGACACAGTTTATACAAGTGATAGATACGGTGTAGTAGTGTTGATATACCGGTAGTGACCAGACACAGTTTATACAAAGTGTTAGATACCGTGTAGTAGGGTTTATATACCAGTAGTGACCAGACGGAGTTTATACAAGTGTTAGATACCTTGTAGTAGTGTTGATATACCAGTATTGATCAGACACAGTTTATACAAGGGTTAGATACAGTGTAGTAGTGTTGATATACCAGAAGTGATCAGACACAGTTTATACAGGAAGTAAGCAGGTGTGATTATGAAGTTTGGGGTGGTTGTTATCAGTAGAGTTCTTTGGTAAAACGATTACCTCACGCCCAGTTTATACAAGTGTTAGATTCCGTGTAGTAGTGTTGATATACCAGTAGTGCCCAGACACAGTTTATACAAGTGTTAGATTCCGTGTAGTAGTGTTGATATACCATTAGTGACCAGACACAGTTTATACAAGTGTTAGGTACGGTGTAGTAGTGTTGATATACCGGTAGTGACCAGACACAGTTTATATAAGTGTTAGATACGTTGTAGTAGTGTTGATATACCAGTAGTTATCAGACGCAGTTTATACAAGTGTTAGATACCGGGTAGTAGTGTTGATATACCAGTAGAGATCAGACACAGTTTATACAAGTATTAAATACGGTGTAGTAGTGTTGATATTCCAGTAGTGATCAGACACAGTTTAGACAAGTGTTAGATACGGTGGAGTAGTGTTGATATACCAGTAGTTATCAGAAACAGTTTATACAAGTGTTATATACGGTGTAGTAGTGTTGATATACCAGAAGTGATCAGACACAGTTTATACAAAGTGTTAGATACCGTGTAGTAGTGCTGATATCCCAGTAGTGATCAGACACAGTTTATTCAAGTGTTAGATACGGTGTAGTAGTGTTGATATGCCAGTAGTGATCAGACACAGTTTATTCAAGTGTTAGATACCGTGTAGTAGTGTTGATACACCAGTAGTGATCAGACACAGTTTATATAAGTGTTAGATACGTTGTAGTAGTGTTGATATTCCAGTAGTGATCAGACACAGTTTATACAAGGGTTAGATACAGTGTAGTAGTGTTGATATACCAGTATTGATCAGACACAGTTTATACAAGTATTAAATACGGTGTAGTAGTGTTGATATTCCAGTAGTGACCAGACACAGTTTGTACAAGTGTTAGATACCGTGTAGTAGTGTTTATATACCAGTATTGACCAGACACAGTTTATACAAGTGTTATATACGGTGTAGTAGTGTTGATATACCAGAAGTGATCAGACACAGTTTATACAATTGTTAGATACGGTGTAGTAGTGTTAATATACCAGTAGTGACCAGACACAGATTATACAAGTGTTAGATACGGTGGAGTAGTGTTGATATACCAGTAGTGATCATACACAGTTTATACAAGTGTTAGATCCGGTGTAGTAGTGTTGATATACCGGTAGTGACCAGACACAGTTTATATAAGTGTTAGATACCGTGTAGTAGTGCTGATATCCCAGTAGTGATCAGACACAGTTTATCCAAGTGTTAGATACCGTGTAGTAGTGTTGATATACACGATTACCTCACGCCCAGTTTATACAAGTGTTAGATACCTTGTAGTAGTGTTGATATACCAGTATTGATCAGACACAGTTTATACAAGTGATAGATACGGTGTAGTAGTGTTGATATACCAGTATTGATCAGACACAGTTTATACAAGGGTTAGATACAGTGTAGTAGTGTTGATATACCAGTAGAGATCAGACACAGTTTATACAAGTGATAGATACCGTGTAGTAGAGTTGATATACCAGTAGTGACCAGAGACAGTTTATACAAGTGTTAGATACGATGTAGTAGTGTTAATATACCAGTAGTGACCAGACACAGATTATACAAGTGTTAGATACCGTGTAGAAGTGTTGATATACCAGTAGTGATAAGACACAGTTTATACAAGTGTTATATACGGTGTAGTAGTGTTGATATGCCAGTAGTGATCAGACACAGTTTAGACAAGTGTTAGATACGGTGGAGTAGTGTTGATATACCAGTAGTTATCAGAAACAGTTTATACAAGTGTTATATACGGTGTAGTAGTGTTGATATACCGGTAGTGACCAGACACAGTTTATACAAGTGATAGATACCGTGTAGTAGAGTTGATATACCAGTAGTGACCAGAGACAGTTTATACAAGTGTTAGATACGATGTAGTAGTGTTAATATACCAGTAGTGACCAGACACAGATTATACAAGTGTTAGATACCGTGGAGTAGTGTTTATATACCAGTAGTGACCAGACGGAGTTTATACAAGTGTTAGATACCGTTTAGTAGTGTTGATATACCAGTAGAGATCAGACACAGTTTATACAAGTGATAGATACGGTGTAGTAGTGTTGATATACCGGTAGTGACCAGACACAGTTTATATAAGTGTTAGATACCGTGTAGTAGTGTTGATATACCAGTAGTGACCAGGTGAAAGGTGACTGGGTTATTAAGTTTGGATCTGGAAAGGTGACTGGGTTATTAGTAGTGACCAGACACAGTTTATACAAAGTGTTAGATACCGTGTAGAAGTGTTGATATACCAGTAGTGACCAGGTGAAAGGTGACTGGGTTATTAAGTTTGGATCTGGAAAGGTGACTGGGTTATTAAGTTTGGATATGGACTGGTACATGTGATAGTGTATACGTTATGTTAATATATGATCATGAGTAGGCTAAAGTATTCTATTGTATACTAATGTTGAACCAGTCTCACTCAGCCATGAAATCATGTAATTTGTATCCAAAAACACAAGCTAAGGTGAGTTAGGGTAGTAGGTGTTGTTTCACTAGTGTGACGCGTTAGGGTAGTAGGTGTTGTTTCACTAGTGTGATGCGTTAGGGTAGTAGGTGTTGTTTCACTAGTGTGATGCGTTAGGGTAGTAGGTGTTGTTTCACTAGTGTGATGCGTTAGGGTAGTAGGTGTTGTTTCACTAGTGTGATGCGTTAGGGTAGTAGGTGTTGTTTCACTAGTGTGATGCGTTAGGGTAGTAGGTGTTGTTTCACTAGTGTGATGCGTTAGGGTAGTAGGTGTTGTTTCACTAGCGTGATGCGTTAGGGTAGAAGATGTTGTTTCACTAGCGTGATGAGTTAGGGTAGTAGATGTTGTTTGAAGACCATATTAATGACTATTTTCAAAATTTACTATGTACATATATATATATGGGCATCTCTGCAAGTGTATGTAGTATATATATACATGTACATATAGATGGGCATCTCTGCAAGTGTATGTAGTATATATATACATGTATATATAGATGGGCATCTCTGCAAGTGTATGTAGTATATATACATGTATTGGTAGATGTGGGAGTGGCTCTCGGTGTCAGGGCAACATATTTCCTACCTTTATATAGTTTTGGTTTGGTTTAGTATTGTTTAACGTCCTATCAACATCTATGCTTATATTATTTAAGGACGGCCTCCCCTATGTGCAAGATGCATGCGTGTAGTGTATACGTGTGCATTTTGGGAGTCTGCAATATGTTCGTGTTTGTCTCCTTGTGATAGCGCAGAACTGATGCCGACTTTATAGTGCTACAGGTACCTCACTGAAACATACTGCCGAGCAGGACACCCCATCCGGTCACATTATACTGACAATGGGCGAACCAGTTGACCTACTCCTAAATTGCTTAGCATTTAGCAGGAGTAAAAACTATGACTCTGGTATATCTTGTTCAGGGGAAATAACCCAAAGGCTTCCTCACAGGGGCGAACGCTCAACTAAAGGCCAAAAGTGAGGCATTGTCAAGGGAGACAATAGGAAGAAGAAAGTTGTTTAGAAAGAAGAGAAAAGATAAGATCCCAAATTTAGTCGCCTTTTATGATCATGCAATGGCGACAGCAGGTTCAATTCTTACACCCTACCTACAGGGACACCTTTCTGTAGTATACCGGGTTTGCTACTGTATTGTTTAATCTGGGCTGCTCCTGGTCAAATATTGACTGTCCTGGGGAAAAATACTAGGACATGTTTTGATTCTTGGCAGTAAATATTTGAACAAGTGCAATCGACTGTACATGTATTTTCCTGGATATTGCTTTCAAATTCACACTTGTACTACACCATCATTTTGAAATTGGTACCTTATTTAGTTTAAAAAAATTGTTGCCTTATATTACATTTAATATGTTTGACAATAACACTCTTTTGGGAAAGTTTATATATGTTAACCAGTGACAATATAATATTTTTATACTATGTTTTGTGATATGGACTTAATGGCTTTCAGCCTGCGTTCATTATTTTTCAATTAAATTCAATTAAATTAAAATAAAACATGTTACCTAACTATAAGATTATTGTTACAGTCATGTATATATATACACACATTGTAGAATGATTTTGTAGTGTATTCTTTATAAATCTTTTGAAAGGAACAAAATATCATTTTAATAGGTTTATGTTAAAACCTGCTGGAGATCTCGCAAGCAAAGGGAAAGATATCACGATCAGATCAAGATGATCAGACAAAGTGGTGAGAAATTTGACTAAAATCTTTCATTTCTCCAAATTGAATTGATGCTAAACATATATTATATAATTTGCTGATATACTACACTCAATTGCATGTAAAATTATGATTTGATTTCTATTTTATTATTTACCTAGTAATATTTTAGAAAAAAGGGACCATATGTAAACATCAACGTGATTTTATATAAATATTTGTATTTACTACATGTACGTCACATTCCATGTAAGGCGTAATGCTGTATATGTACAGACATAGACTGTATGATATATACTGTGTTCTAACCCGTTAGTAGGACCTAATATTTCCAAGATTTTGTGTTTAGAAGTTACTATAACAAATTAACAATATATTTCCTAAGCCTTTCTGCCCCAAAACAAAGTTGAGGGGTTAGTGATTGTTTACCTGTTAGAGATTGTCTACCTGTTAGTGACTGTTTACCTGTTAGTGATTGTTTACCTGTTAGTGATTGTTTACCTGATCTGTTGACCTTTGTGTTTATATATATACAAATACACATCTTATAATTATACCTATACATATAGTTAGTACAGTATATACATGTATGTAGTAAGACATACAAAAATGTAGGGTTTAGCTTTATAAATTCGAGTACTATAAATCCAGCATGTTAACATGTACACTCACCAGACTATAAGTTGTATGTTTATATAATGTACCTCATGAGGAGTGCTATGTAAAAATTCCAAATGTAGGTCATAGTGACCTTTTTTTCTGTTTCACTGACTTTGATTATAATTTTGTATATAAAGCTCACAGCCTCCATTTCTTTGGTGTTTGGTTTGACATTTATTTCTGTTTAGTTCTATACGGGAGGCTGCAGGGGCATACATGTTTGTTTAACAAAACATTTTCTTATCTATTCTGTCATTATTGCATTGTGTTTTCGCTTTAGGTTGAAAGTTTGTAAATGTCACATGTGACTTTCAGGTATCTACAATAACTACACAATACATTGTATATTAAGTCATGCACTGACCTAATTTCCTCTGATAATAGCCATATTTAGTAAAAATAATTTACACAAGGAAGTGGTTTGTTTATAAAGCACACAAACATGATTCATCGCCAATCATACTGTGTGTATAGTGTTATGTTTATTGGTGTGTAACACTGATACTTCTGAGTGCTATGGGTGTACATACATGTATAACACTGATACTTCTGACTGCTATGATATGGGTGTACATATGTATTACACTGATACTTCTGACTGCTATGATATGGGTGTACATGTGTATAACACTGATACTTCTGAGTGCTATGATATGGGTGTACAT